ATTACAGAGGTCTGACTAAAAATTGTAATGGTACAAATCGATGCTATCAGTGTCCCTGATTCCAGTTTAGAAAACCTATTTGTATTCCTTTTAAGATTCCAATCATACTTTTGAATGAAGAAAATAGCTTACCCTCTTCTGAATAAGTGTCCAATATTTGTCACTCCTTCCAAAAGTGTGATTTGTCATGGTTTTATCCCTTATTTTATAGAAATATCACAAAATAATCCAAAACCATCCATAATAATACAGAAAATATTACATAAATTCACAGATATAAGTCACAGAAATAGTCGAAATAGTCCCAAACCATTCAGAATAATACATAATACATCAATTATGTAAGAATAAGTCACAGTTCACAGTTATTGATCTGAATTACCGTTATGAAATGCAAATTCTGGAAATGGTACATTAAAGCGGTAATTTTACGTTCAATTCCTCCCACTTTTTGACTGACAATTTGAATTTCAGCCAATCAGCAGCCAAAATTCTATATCCACGTGCTCTTCGTGTCAACTCTTCCCGCCAAAAATTGTTTTGACGTTTCTGATGGTTTTAAACTGTCACTTTCTCATCAAGTATTTAAAAGTTGATAAATTATTAAAGGAAAAGAACCACCAACATTTCAGAATGGCTGGTTGAAAGAACTTTGAATCGAGATGCTGGACTTAAATTTCCTTTTTAAAGTCTGAAATCTATTCAAAAAACATTTTGATCAACGAATAAAGTATATTTTGTTAAGTTAACGGGGGAAAAAAATGCAAAACCGACATGTTTGTGTAGTATATTACACGGAAGGGGACCTTTAATTCTGAACAGAACTCATAACATGATTGCTAGATTCGCGCCAAATATTATCCCAAATTTATAGGGATATAGTTGTTAGTGTTACTGTTACAATAAAAATTCGCCTTTTCTAACTTTTAGGCCTAAATCAGGCTACCTTCAAAGAAGATAATTAAGATTTTTTAATGTGGGTCAAACGTTTTGGTGACACAGTAAAGTCGACAATTGAAAGCCCTGTTCTGATAATGATGGATGGTCATTACTCTCACACCAAAAACTTAGAAGCCATTAACTATGCCCGACGTAATGGAATTATTATGCTGTCTCTACCACCCCACACAACTCATAGATTACAACCCTTGGATGTTAGTTTTTTCAAACCATTACAAACTTATTATAACCAAGCAATTGGTAGCTGGATGCAAGACAATCCTGGAAGGGGTGTGACTCAATTCATAGTTTCGAAACTATTTTCCACAGCTTACATCAAAGCATCTACAATGCCAACTGCAGTGAATGGTTTTGCTAAATGTGGTATTTGGCCTTGTTGAAGAACAAGTATTTTGTCCATCAACTTTAAACAACCAATTGATTGATGTTGTACCCACCCAGGAAAACCAAGCAGTTGCGGTTGCAGAAGAAATTGTTCCGTCTACCTTTAAGGAAACCCAATTAAACCCAAGTAAATGGCTTTTGTTCCCAAGGCACTCATTCTTACCGACCCTACGCCCCTAACAGTGGCTTTTAAGCAAAACATTTTCATAATTTGATGTAACTTGTTAAGCAATTTTGTCTTTTCTCTGATTTTGCAACATTATTTAACTATTTCCCAATTTATTATAAAATATGTGCTACAGTCCAAATTAGCAGATACCCTGGTCCAATTTATCCTCTGTGATGGGTAAATTGGACCAGTTACGTGGAATTTTAAAACCAATCCTAAAACCTTACTTATTCATTTAAACTCACAAAATTTGGTTTTTGTGAGGTTTACAGCCTTGTGCATTGTGTAAGCATTAAAGATTTGCAACAAGCAATAGGAATTTTGAACTGCAGAAATATTTCCTTAAGTGGTCCAATTTACCCACCCACCTGTATAATAATCGGGTCTTAGCTGTAATAGTCCTATGAATCTTGGACTAATTAAATTCCAGATGATTTATTTGTGGTTATAAGCATAACATGCTTTGATATTGGTCAATTGATTCCTGGCTATAAAATAATGAGTAATATTGTACATTATTATCATATAAAGAATAATGTGTGACTACAAACAAAATGCTGATAAATGATCCAAGATGTCTGAAAAGCTTCCGTAAGTGATATCACTTTTTTCTTGTTTGAGTCATCTTATATCACTGTGTTATTATTATTTCTCCTGAACACACATCTTCTAGTGTAAAGAGCTATGACTCTAGCCTCTGTTAGTAGTTCTATATCATTGAGGTCTGTTAGAAAGACTCTCATAAAAGGTTCTCTAAATTTTGTATAGATGTATATCGGGGAAATAAGTGTTTGATGGATCCACAAATCACACAAAATTATATGCTTTATCACATTTAAGGTCGTTCGCAATTATAGTGACGTCATCAAACATTTAGTTATAGTGAAATTGCAGGAACCACAGACTTCTGACTGAAATTTGGAATAGGCCTAGTGCAAATTGCTGCTATCAGTGTCTCCGATTCACAAGAAAACGTCTTTATAATCCCTTAAAGATACGTTTCTATTGTGCTGATTCTTCCAAATGAGGTAAGTATTATATAAAACCC